CTAACTAATACGAACCTGACCCGGGTCGCACACTTGAAAATGATGGGTGAATCTCTCAACGAAAGCTACTGCGTACGCAAGGACTCAAACTCAAGATTTTGCTTAAACTGAAATAAGTCGTTTACCACTTGATCTAACTCCTCATTGGTAACTAGGGGCATTTTTCCTCCACGTTTTTTCTGACGGTAAGACCAAAGACTATGACCTCTTCTTCGTCTCTCTCCCCCGTTCCACGCAGATACAAATTCATCGGTTCCAATTCAACTTCTTCCTCCATCCATCTCTGTATCTCCTTCTGAGGAAATCTGCTGTATCCTGGGCATACCATTGATGTAATATCCTCAACGAATCAAAGCATGCCAAATCATCACTTTTTGTCCACCTCATTAGCCACATCGCACTTTTTTTTCAGCTCAACTGTATCTATTAATGAGGTGGAAAAATGATAACGTGGCGTACTGTAATTGGTTGGGATACCGCTGACGTGCCATCGCTGATACAGCAGACTTTCGTGTCCCTATCGCCCAAGCTCAGCTCTGGGTGCGGATCGGGGCATTCTTCGTCACCGTTTTTCTGACGGCAAGACTAAAGACTATGACCTCTTCTTAGTCTCCTCTCCCCCACTCCACTCAGATACAAATTCATTGGTTCCAATTCACCCTCTTCCTCCATTTATTTCTTTATCTCCTGCGATTCGGGTTTTCGATCTTTCTACGAGGTATTCTGGGATGGCGAACACCGGCACCGATGATCATCACGAGGATTCTATCTCTCTATTGAGCAAGCAGGTTGAAGAAGATGGGAGCAAAGGGAGTTGCAACGACAAAGGCAATCAGCCCAAGAAGGGGAAAGTCGATGCAGCACCGCATTTGCCTGATCTTTCAGGGGGAGTTGGGCATGGTTGGACAACCGAAGGGCAGCCATTGGGTCACGGGAACGTGGTGGGCCACCCGATGGCTCGGGGACGGTGGGGCTCCTCCCTTTTCGATTGTCTTGGCTGTGATTCCGAGTTTTGCTGCAGCGATCTAGAAGTTTGTGAGTCTGATTTCGTAAAAACTGTTCAATTTTGTTAAAATTTGTTATTTTCTATGTGTACTCCCTGATAAGATGCTGATTAAGAGGGTAATGCGTGATATTTGATCGGTCTAAAAGATCATAGTAACATCATCTAGTCTGTAGTGATGGCGTTAAAAGTGAAATATGGGATCTCTTCTGAAATCCTTAGGAAAATGGATTAGCTTTGAAGTTTATTACATGAAAAGGATTAAAGGTTTAAGTGTTTGTGATTTTGGGGGTTAGATATCTTGAAATTTATTTTTTATCAAATTTAGTTTATATGCTTATAGGCATTGGGTTGGTGTCTGATACCTCATGGATCATGGATCAATGTTAATGTTGGCCCAAGAATCATCTTCGAAGTCATGGACTTTTTCCTTTTTCTTCCCTATACCTTTTTGAGGGGGAAGGTTGACTGTTCAGTTGGGCTTCTAGTTCTTGACTTCTCCTGGTTTAATGGGTTACTTACTGCATTTTCATGTTTATCTTTTTCTCTCATATTTTTTTTTGTTTACTGCATCTGGGTAGGTATCCTTGGATACGCGGCCCCATGTGTGCTGTATGGAAGCAATGTTGAAAGACTTGCATCTGGTCCTCAGACCTCTGCAAATCAAAGACTTATATCTGGTCCTCAGACCTTTGCAAATCACTGCTTGTTATACGGTGGTCTGTGCCTGCTTGGTGAGTATTTCTGTCACTGCAATTGGCTCGCACCATGCTTTTCATATCAAAACCGTACTGCCCTGCGGCAGAAGTTTAACTTAGAGGTAAGTAATTCTCAAATCCTTTCCTGTGCTTTTAAGCTTTAATATTCCATGAATTGAGATAAGCACTTGAGTTAGGCATAGTAAGTGTTAATTTTCTTTAGTTGTTTCAGGCATTACATTTCTAGAACATTCATCCGTTGTCAAAAATAGAAAAGGGAAAATTTATCATTCTTATATCACGCTGTTGTGGGATAAGCTTTTGATTGCTTTTTATGACAGTTTTTTTGGCTGGTTTGGGGGGTGTGAATAAGGCAACAAAAGCAACAACTAATTATCCAGGAAACTAATTACCAAACATCCTTTCAAGGCTTATTTATGTTTAGGATACTTTGACAAACAGGGCAGCTGTGAGGCACTTAATAGTTTGTGTGGCTGCTGTGGGAGCTGTTTGGAAGATGAGGAGCAACGTGAACAGTGGGAATCAATTTGTGACTTAGCAACCCATGTCTTCTGCCATCAATGTGCTCTTTGCCAGGAAGGACGTGAGATTCGCCGAAGGATTCCTCATCCTGGGTTTAATGCTCAGCCTCTTCTGGGCATGATTCCTCCTGGGGAGCAAACCATGGGCCGCCGACCCTGATTGCATCTGCTACAAGCCTGCCTGCTGATGAAACAGCTTTACTCTGTGTGTTGTTATTAATGCTATATAATGCTCTAGAATGATATGTTGAAACTTTATTCCTATCCCAAAGAAAGAAGTTAAACTTTACCATATCATCTATACTTACCGTCAGAGAAGTGAATGCTTGGTGTTGTCAATCAAGCGAAAATATGGTGTATGATTAAAAAAATGTTTATGTTACCTACATTCTGTTCATAAATGAATATTACTATTATACCCTTTTCATTTCTCAGACAATACATACTATATAATCATGCTCTATGCTTTCATTCATCTGTAGGGTATCTGATTTCTATTGCTGTAAATGCTAGGTCGTGCCAACTTGAAATTATGAAGGAACAGCAGTGTTAAGTGTTAACCTTTGCATTGTTTTTGATGGGAGAGGTTAGAAGAGAGGATTTTTTTGGGTACTAAACTTTCTGGTATCCAGAAACTACATTAAATCATTACTAATTTGAATACTTAAAGAGAACCAAACTCCTTCTATTAAGATGAACAAGAACAAGTTGTTGGTTAGAAGAGAAAGGATAGGCAACCATTTTTGTTTACTAGTGGGGTAGAAAAGAGGCTTACTTTGTCATGTCCTAGCCTCTCAGGTCCATAGTTTCTTATGCCATATGAATGGAAATAAGTATACCTTCTTCTGTACTACAAGGGGGAGATCTAATCTGGATATGAAGGGATCAGGTTCAAAGCCCGGTGAAATGGCTCGATGGAGGTTCAGAAAATGTCTAAATGGTTGCAAGAGTTAAATCACCTGCCCTTCGGTCTTTGAAGTCAGGCCCTTCTATGGGGCTAATTATGGTTTTTTGAAGAATTTAACTGAACAGTCTGGACCATCAGAAACATAACTAACCTGATTCAAATGTACCGATAGCTGATGCTTTCACGTAGGCAAGCTAAACATTTAAGCCAATGAGCCATATTTGTTAAGGAGAAAACAGAGATAAACGCAGAATGATGGTGAAAACGCACTTCATAAGCACGAACCACTGTTTTTACTCACCAGTCTACCCAAAAATTGGGTAAATTTCTAATTCTGAAGCTAGCGTTTAACTGTGACAACTCTCTTGACTGTCATGACATGACAAACTTTTGAAAAGAACGGTCAATAACGAGAAGAAAGAAAGCAGGACCAAGATTCGTACTCCCCTGGAGCAGAGATTCCCTGCTTCAACCTTTCCCTGTTCATCTTCTTCTTGGAGACGGGCTTCTTTTTTCTTGGAGGGAGGGTCTTCTGGGCATAAATGTAAAGCACATGGTTCCCAACAAGGAATATCGACAGCAATGATCCCACAAGCAGCAGCACTATCAATCCTGGGTTGAACCCTCTGGCTTCAGTTTCATAAATGATCTTGTTACCCTACTTCAGTGTGGAAAACATATTAATCATCTAATGAGCACTGTACTAGGATAAACAAAAGAAGAAGGAAACAACCTGCAGCTCATTATGAGTCGAAAAGAATTATCTTCAAAACAACGAAATTATAATTTGATACCACCTTATTTGATAACTAAAAGATTAGCTTATCCGGCACATTAATAATTGATTTTTAAGTCCACATAAAAGTTATTACCAAAAAATGTTAAAATTTTACGTTTAGACTAATATTAGTAATCATATATAACCCCTTCATATGGCTCGAACTTTTAACCCAGAAGATCTAATCAACTTAATACTGTAATTCCTTCTAGGGTGTTCGAGTAGAAGGCACCCAATAAGCTCACTTGTTGTTAACCTGCCGTTCTTCACCACCAAAAAACGCTTTGTTTTTGACTCAATGTAGGTCTTCACCGGACAGGACTTTTCTTTAGCAGGTAGATTTTGCGGTTCCCCATCATCCACTGAAGAAACAAAACCCGAACCAGACCCAGAAGAAACAAGAACAGAGCCAGAAAAGAGAGAATCAGACAACCCCACGTCGGAAAGAGAGTCCCTTAGCAGGGATTCGGATCAAGAATGAAAACAGATCCAGAAACTGAAGAAAAGTCGGGTTTCCTTAATCAATTCGAAGAAAAAATCGCAAAATCTGCTGACTGTGAAGAACCCAAAGCAGAGCAATTATCAACCATCCGGCCTCTGATTCTGACGAAGTGTAAATCAGTACCCGCGAGAACGGCAGCAAAACTCGATCCAGACTAGAGTTTCCCGAAGAAAAGAAGGATAGGTTTGTGATTGTGATTGATTCAAGTTCATCCCTTTTCCCCTCAGGTTTTCCCAACCAGGTCTAGTTTTTGGAAGCCTTTTTTTTTTTTTTTTAGTGATTTTCTTGATTATATTTTGACATTTGGTGCTGTGTGAGAGAATCTCAATTGCTTCATGGCAATATATAAGGCTACACTGAAAGATGAAACAACAAAAAAATTCTTTATTTGTGTTGATCATCTTCTCCCTGCTGCAACATCTTTCATGTGCTGTTGTATTTACTTGAAATCATAATTTAGTGGAAGCAGTTTTGTTGTTTTCTAGCTTTGGCTTGATTGTGTTTAATTACGTATACCAATTCATATGTTAAGATTGTCAAAATTGTATTTGATTTTATTAATGTTTGTAGTTTTCTTTAAATAAATGATTATAATATTTTAGAACATTAATTTATAAATTAATTTTAATTTATTAAATAATAAATATTAATTATTTTATCAATTATTAACTATTTTTAATAATAAAATTAAACAAAATCTATTGAGTTCTTATACCAATCCTCCTTAGTTTTATGCTTCTTTGGATACTCTGACCAACTTTTTATTTTTGGTCCAGTTTGGTAAGAATGCTTGTTGAATCTACAAATGAAATGGCCCGGCATCTTATTTTAACCTTATAAGTCTCATTTCGGTTTAGTTAATAGGAACAACAGACAACTAATAACTAATAATTATATTATATTGCTTATATATAAAATTGTTTTACAAGATCGTATATAGTTTATCTCGTAAAATTATTTAAATATTTTTTTAAAAATAATATAAAAATAGAATTAAAGACATTTAATTAATTATATAGAATGAACTATATGTAATTCACTTTATAAAATAGTTTTTTCTTATTTATAATTCAAATATATTTACACATTTTTTTATTTAATTAGAAAACACAAAAGTATATGTTGTTATTTATAATTTAAACATTTGTATCCATTCGATTAAAGAGAATAATTATTAATTATTTAACAATTAAACCGACAAATCTAATTTTATTTTTATCCTTTTCCTTGATGGATTTGTTTATAGTTAACTATATAAATGATGTGTTCTTTGATTGGAAAACTTGGTCAAAGAAAGAATAATTATGTTCATTGCGGGAAAGGAGATCTTGGGGATCAGATCAAGGGAGCATCATCAGCCATTTATTTTACATTGGATAAGAATTTCAGGGGTGGAACTTGGAAGGCTTTCTCCTGTTTGGTTGTGTCAAGAATTGTCTTGAGGCTTGGTTAGGGTCTGATGTGAAAAACATAGGGTTGGACATATCCATGGGATGCAACATGAGAAAGGAAGAGCAAGGTGCTATTTCATTTGTTTCAGCTGTCAATTTTATGGATAGTAGAGGTAAGGTATTATAGTTGTCATTTTTCAGAGTGTTATCAGGGAATCTTCCATTTTCATGCCTTGCCCATTTTAAAAAAGTCTTGAGCTGCATAGTATCATGGTAACCCAATTCTTTTTGGAGGGAATGGAGGGAAAGATGCTCTTTCTCTACTAAACAGTCAAATCTTGTTTTAATTAGGCCTAAACTATTATAAATCTTGTAACTTATTATATTAAAATAATCATGTAATATCATGAATTAACTTTCCTGTTTTGTACTAAACTAACTCTCATATGTAATTAAAGACAGAATTAGAATTCTATATTACTATTCTTGTTCTTAATCTTATTTATTGAATCATATGCTTAGAATGTATCGTGCAGATTACTCATATTTTCACATTATTCACAGACAAACTGCCGGCTGCAACATGTGAGGAAATGTAAGATCAAAATCTATTAACGGTAGAATGGTCCATTCTGTCCCACTGGTATTGAACCTTAAGTTAAAGCTGTTCACTTCCGTAAGTGGTGTGTTTGAACTCTATGAAACTCATTTTCCCTCTTTCCTATATATATTTGTAAATAATTTTAAAATTGTTCAAAAAAAAAAAAATCTATTAACGGTAGGATAAGTTGAATTTCTTAAACAGGCTGGATTCATTTTTCTTATTCGCACTCTGAGCCGGATGCTTTCTTCTTTTTTTTTTTTTTAATGTAGCATTAAAAGTAGGTTCCAGTGAAAACTTAAATGACAAAAACATAAAAGAAAATCAGAAAAATCTCCCTTCAAATTTATAAAATTTGCCATTCTGCAACTCCCGCAATTCTTCTCTAAGCACGTAAATTCAATCTCATAGCAAATCAAGCAACTATTTCCTGTTGATAGAAATAAATAAAGAGAGAAAAATAAAAAGATATATGAATAAAGAAACTTTTTTTTTCTTTAATTTCACTGATTATATAAGGTTTTTATTTATAAATCTATATAAAAGAATATTATATGGTACAAAATTAATTAACCTAATTATATTAATAAATTATAATGTGAATTCAATCAATATTTTGTAACATCCCTTTCAAAGTCAAGGTGGTGATGAGAAAGACTAGCTTGAGTTTGGAAAGAAGAGTGTGAAAGTGTCGAAAAAAGTGAATTTTTGGTGAAAAGATTTGCATTTTGAATATATAGATTGGTGCAGTCGACGTCACTGGAGGAAAAGGAGGCCATATCAAATCTAGGCAACATCAATGTTGGAAATTCAATTGCGAGAAATCAAGAGCAAAATCAACGACAAGAAATCAAGAGCAAAATTAGCGACAATTGGATGTGAGAAAGCTGGAGCGACACTGACTGTGGGAGTAACCCGCATTGCCAGCGCAACAAAGAACATGATCAAGAAAACCCAATTGCAAATAAGTCCAAGAGAGAAAGCAAAGATGTTGATGATCGGCACCACCTATAAGCAAAGTAGCAACATATCGGATTTGCATTCTGAATATGTAGATTGGTGCAGTTGACGCCGCTGGAGGAAAAGGAGGCCATATCGGATCTAGGTAACAGCAATGTTGGAAGTTTAATTGTGAGAAATCAAGAGCAAAATCAACGGTAGGAAATTAGGAGCAAAATTAGCGACAAGTGGATGTTAGAAAGCTGGAGTGACACTGACTGTGGGAGTAACACGTATTGTCGACACAACAAAGAACAGGATTAAAAAACTCAATTGCAAATAAATACAAGAAAGAAAGGAAAGATAATGATGATTGACACCGCTTACAAGCAAAATAGCAATTCACAAAGGTGATAAACAGTAATAGTAAAAAAAGTCTCAAGCCTTGGTACCATGATAAAAAAATAAAAAGAAAAAAAATATAAAATTATATAAAAAGAAAAACTTTTTCTTTCTTAATTTTACATAAATACTTATTTATAAGTCTGTACAAAAAAATATTTTATAATATAAAATCAATTACTCTAATTATGTTAATTAATTATAATATGAAATTAATTAATATAATTATAATATAAATATTATGTAACACCTATTGACATCAAAAGAACACAGAGTTCTTCCTTTGCTCCAGTTTCTTTCAGACAACCACCGTGTTGGGGATCTTCGAAATCACCGTCCAAATCTATCAAGATGCAGCTATTTTCTTCCGTGGACTAACCCATTAGGGTACCAGATTCGTCGACCAACAACAAAATATTGGGTTCTGTCGGACCCAAATTTCTGGGTTTGAAGGAACCCAGATCTAACGGCAAAAAAGATTAAAAAAAAGAAAAAGAAAAAGGAACTCAGATCTAGTTTCCGATGAACCTAGATGTTGAGTTCACATCTGGGTACAAAGGAATCCAGTCACTGGGTTTTGAAAATCTAGAATTTCTAGTTTTGAAGGAACTCGCATGTAAGGCTTTAATCTTTGTTTTCTTTGCCATATCTTGTGATCCCTCTACAATAGAAA